TAAATAAATAAATATTTTATTTAAAAAAAATAAAGTTTAATTCATGAAAGGTCTTTTACCCGGACATTTTTCTAACTTATCATGAATTTTATTCGCATTATTTTAACTTAAACTTGTCTTTTTATTAGAAAAAAAGGAGAAAAGTTTATTCGCTAATTGCTAGAATTAGTTACTGTTCAGTTTATTCTGTTTATAACATGCGTTTTATCGGAGGAAACAAACAGCTGCTGATATTAAAATAAAAAATTTAAATTAAAAAAAATAAAATAAAACAAAAATCCCAAAAGAAATCAACATTTCATTTATAAAAACAAAGTAAAAATAAACACGTAAAGTAAAAAATTTCGTAATAAATAAAAATCTAAATTGAATAAGTTTTAACGAATCATTTTTCTGTAATAATTATTCTACAATATTATAAAATGTAAAGAATATGAAAATATTTTAGAATGATTTCTATTTGGGGAAACATTAATTTTATAAAATGATAATATCTTTTCATATTTTCGGAATGATCTTCAATACAATATTTATTTTTTAAAAATTATTTTATTCGGAAAATACTTTAGGGAATATTGCAAGATTATTTGTATCAAAAGTTGAAATCATTCAAGGAAAAAAAAAATTCAAATTTAAAGTAGATATGCATAGATATATTTTAAAAATACTTACCTTTTTTAAAAATCATATAAATATTTACTTAAAAAAACAATTTTTTAAGGAAAAGAACAATCGTTTGTATTATTTTATGATAAGCTTCGAAGGTAAAATTCTAATTCATTATTTGTATATTGAATTGCAAGAAAGATATTCCTAAGCAGAAAAAAGAAATCCTTTTTTTCTTTTATTAGTAGAGAAAATAGTAAAAAAAAAAAATAAAACAAAGCAATAAATCATTCTGTATTTAAAAATCTTCGAAACAAAACGTTAAAATAAAATAAATAAATTTTATTTATTCACGAAAAATTCGGATATCATTTTCCATAACAATTCAATATAAAAAATTATAATAAAATCAGTATAAAAATTTATTATGAAAAGGAAAAAAAAATTTTTTTTTAAATAATCATTAATCAAAAAATAATAATAATAATAAATTTTTTTTAAGGAAAGTTATAATTAAATAAAAAATAAAATTATTTAAAATACTTTAAAATTTTGTTTGACAGAAAAATTATTCTTCTGGTAATTTAATAAATTAATTTAAACTTTTAATCAAAATAAAATTTCTATAACGAAATTTCAATTTCATTAAAAGTTTTTGCTAAATAAAAAAAAATTGTAATTAATTAAATATGTTAAATTTTTAATTATCATATTTTTCATCACTGAAGATTTCTTTAAAAAATTATAAAAGAAAAAACTCTAACAGTCTCTTTTGGTGAATAATGATAAATAACGTTAATATGCTTAATAATAATATAAAGTTTTTTAACTTATATTATTAGCAACATATGGAAAAATCTTATTTTCTTCGATGTTTAGGATAAATTTACTTAATACGAAGGTAAAACACGGTAGAAATGTCCAATTTTATAGTCATACAAACTATAAATTTAATTAATAAATTATTGAAATTTTAGACGTTTTTAATAGATATAACATTGATTTTCAGTTGATAAAAATTTTCTAATATTTTAAATTTATATTAATCTTATAGATTTTTCCGCATATTTTCTAAATTTTCGACAATATTCTGATTTTTTAAACGTTTTTAGTTAACTTGTCTTCAAAGTTCAGCCTTCTAAGTCCGATAACAACACATGTTAATGATGTTTTAGTGGGTGGACCACTCCACCATCTGTCCTACCCAGAAATACGATAAATAACCAAATATAGAATTTAATCACGTGGGTAAATACATTATAGTGAGATATATGGAGTGCTCCACCCTATCTTTCACTCCAATCTCGTAATAAAGTGTTTATTAAAATTATTTTTCTTTATTGAATATTAAGATGAGATAAAATATACAAGTCTTAGTTCGCTGTTATCGTTTAATACGATTTGTAAGCGCCAATAGCTATGTTAAAGAAAATATTTACAAATATATTTCTTAGTTAACTGAAATAATCGATATTGCAAGACATTGTACAGTACATTATAAAAAAAAATCGATAATCTTTGATATAGAATCAAAGTTACTTTCTTCTTGGAAAAATCCATAATACTTCACATGCATAAATTTTTTATTTCGAATAAATTATTAATGCAGAAAACATACGTATACATTATTATTACTGTAAACATTGTAAGATAATGTACTATACTACTTTAAAATGTTTACTCAATGGTGTGTTGTAGTTTTATGAGGATCAAGAATATTTGAATTAGGGGGCCCCGAGGACAAATGTTGACTTTTTCTTCGTTTTTCTTCGGGGAAATTTTTGAGAAAATATTTTCGTATAAAAGATCGGTTTGGGGCCCATGCTAGCCCCAAACCAATCTTTTTGCCCATAGGATAACGCGCCATTGTATTTACTGTAGGTATACGTTTTATTAAAAATAAATAAATAAAACTTATATAAACATAGCTTTAAAAAAATTTTCTATTTCTTACATTTTTTTTGATATAAAATACATATGAATTTTATTTTTTATGTATTGCTTAAAATATACGTATAGAAATTTTCTATTAAAAATTATATAAAATTCAATATAGCAATTTACTTATATCCAATTTTATAATTATTTAAACTATAAATTTAATTTTAATTAATGAATAAACTTTAAATAAAAATAGCATATTATTTAATTACGCTTATTATTAACTTTTAATTATTAAAGCAATTAGATTAAATGAATTGAAATAATCACAAAGGACAAATTGGTTCAAACATAAAAGAACCTTTATTTGTTTTAAAAAGAATTTGTATAAACTTTTTTAAATTATGTTTACGCCAATTTTCATAATCGTAAACATGTATTTTAATTGTAACTGTACATTTTGAAAGACATTTAAATATATCAGTAATTTTCTCATTTGGTCGTTTTTTTTCCTTAACTTGCATCAATGACATTTTGTTTTTGCATAATTGAAAACTGTAGCATTTTTATAATAAGATTAAAAGTACCATAATAAGTAAGTAAAGTAATGCATAGTTATCAAATGGAACATTATATTATTATTCCGTATTTATTATATTTACGATGTTAATATATGAGTAGTAATGCATTCAATCGACCATTCCATCAGAAGTGTTTTGGTATGAATATAATTTTCCAAGATTATTTTTAAGGAATCACAGGCAGTGAAAGAGTTATTCTTTCTTTCTTTTTTTTTAAGATAAAATTAAATGACAAGCTTCGATAGAAATTTAATAATAATGAAGAAAATATTTAGCCATATTTCAAGCTGCATAGAATGATTAATTTGAATGTTATGGAGCGAGCAAAATAAAAACTTCGAGTAAAAAATTATAAATAACAATTTTGAAAAATTTAAAATATAATAAAGATATATATATATATAGTGTTAAGTCTTTTTATGAGGTGCTTTAGTCAGGCACATAGAGGTGTTTCGACGTGCAAAATTTCTTATATTCAGGAGTGCAAATAGAGCGATAGCGAGAGAAAGAGAAAGAGTCAAAGATAGAGAAATATTTATCGCGAAATATTTCGAAATTAAATATTTGATTGTCTGATAATTTTTGTAAAAAAAAAATTCAATTTTAAAATAAAATAAACGAAGACAGTTCAAAACAGTTGACATCAATGAAGATTCTTTGGGATTTCTTCGGTGACCAGATGTTCGGTGAGAGATGTTGAATCCAACATTTCTGGTAGAGAAGGTGTACTAGACGAGTCAGATAATGATACAGTGATGCGAGGAGATGAAGTGGAATCGTCAGATAACTTGGAAACATTCTTCATTAGGGATACGTTGGGTGTTTTTCGGAGCAGGACCGTGGTATCTCCGCTTGACTCTTCACTATTGGAACAATAAGAAGGGATAGAGGGTAGATATCATCTATGGTTAATCTACTTAGGATATAAATCTTACTAAGGGAAGAAATAGGAAGTAATAAAGAAAATCTATTAAGGTTTTGTAACGTTGATAAATAAACTAAAAATTATATTTTGAATACAATATCTAAGTTCCGAAAGACTTCAAAACGAATCCATTTGACATATACGATTGATTAATGACATTTTGTGGTTATCCTCAAATAATTCTAACGATAATTTATATTACTAAAATTTATTGGAGGGTCGAACTATTATTAGTTCTATATTTAATGATATTTTTCAAGTTAATATTAGCTAATGGACTTTTCTTTCTTTCAGACATGATATTATTAGCCTACTTAGTTCGTATATCTGTCATTTTTATTAAAGTTTTCTTACCTATCACCGTCGTCTTCACTTAAGGCACCCTGACGTCTGAGCACTGGATGATGGTCGTCGGAAGCTACACCAAAAAGATCTTCTGTGTCACTTGGTGCGGAACTGCCACTTGAATCTACTGACTGAAGTCGTTCTGTTTTTCTATAGGTAATAGGGTAACTTCTGTTGGATAAAAAGAAAAATCGATACTAATTACAGGCTATGTAATAACAATTTTGTATTAAAAAATAATTTTAATGGTTTCATTTTTTAAAAATAAAATGCCACTTTATTGTTTTATTATATATAGATATAAATTATTTTTATTTTACTTAACACTTTATTTGGGCTATATTTATTTACTGCTTAATATAATAAGCACAATTAATTTATTTATCAAAATATCCCAAATACTTCCAAATTTTACGAGCTAAGCAAATTATATTTCGAAATTTATGGTTAGAGTTATAATTTAAATTTTAAACTATAATAATAATTTAATTTTAATACGCGGATTAAACTTAATACAGTGTATATATATTAAATAAAATCGCAATTATTATAAACACAATTTGGAATAATAGAATTTTGAATGACTTTATACAATAGAATTTCTGACTTCCTTTGAAAAATAGATAAATATTATCAATCAAAGTTAAAAAATTAAAAAATACAACATCATTAAACTTTCCTTCTTATAGATTTTAAAGAAAATTGGGCTTCAAAAAAATCCTGTCTTCAATATGATTGCGATTAAATAAATGCGTTATTTAAAGTTAAAAAAATGGATAAAAACAATAGAAATATATTAAAAAAAACTATGAAAAATATAAATTAAATATTTCGAATTTCAATTCATTTATGGTATTTATAACCATGGATAAATTAAAATCGAGATGTAATTATTTAGTCACGAGATTGTAATGAGGGACGTTACAGGCTACAACACTGTTTTGTTCTATTCTGTCGCATTCTCATCAATCTTTTCACATTTCTCTTCAGCTAATATGGTTAACAAAAACATAGACTCTACATATAGAAATTAGCAAGAAGTACTTTAGATTTCGTATAAATTAATGCTAACATTCTGTTGTCGATAACATAACAATAAACTTGTACAGTTAAAATTGAATTACAAAATTTTTGTTAGTGTTTGGCTTAATTGAATCACGTTGATTCACTTTTTGTAAAACAAAAATCTGTTAAAATTCTACCAAATTCAATTCTTTCACTATAAAATAAACAAATCGTTTAATTGCTGTCATATTTTATTAAAAAGCTAATTTAATATAAAAATTATAATTATTACAATAATATTTATCAATTATATTATGTATAATAAATCATTATTAATTTTTATTCAGCTTTAGAGAGCGATAGAAAAGACAAATTTGTAATATATTTTTCTAAAACTGAGAACGTATTCTGAGATATTCTAAAAGAAAATTGTACTAAAACGTATTGTTTGTACGTAAATGAAGTTTACTTTTAAGCTTAATCTTGCACCCTAATTTTCCAAAAGAAATATCATCCATAAAAGCTTACTTTTGTTTCATCAATAATCTTCTTCGTTATCAAATCACATAGAATAAATCATTATTCTATGTGATTTGATAAGTTTTAAATTCGGAAAGTTTAAAAATAGTTTTTCATAAGCTTTAGTTTGCTCAGCATGCAAAATTCGTGATAGAAATACAGTTTTGATAAACCCGAAAGCTATAAAATTATAACATAGTATGAATTAGTAAATTGTTATATTAAAATAATGTTAAACTTTCTATAAGTAAAAGAATTGCATAAAATGACAACCAAATTTCTTTTATTTATTATGTCTACTATTAATGAAATTACTAAACTAGCAGTTAACATAAAGATGGTAAGAACGTTTCTTTATATAAAAATCACGAAAAGTTTAACAAGAAAATGAAAATTGATTAGTTAATTACAATAATAAAGAACACAACTTTAATTATATGGTTGTAATTAATGATAATCACGTAGGTTATTTAATATGGCTTATCCATTAACTAATTTCTTTGAGAAAAGAAATTTCTTATTTATTTATTTTTAAACATATAATTTAAATAAATTCAAACCATAAAATGTTTTATTGAATAATTTCAGAAGTATAATATTAATAAATTTAAATTTGCAAGGATTTTTTAATTTAATTATTTACTAGTTCATATTATATCTACATTAAAATAAACTTTAGAACATTTTTTTTTGGAAGAAACATTATTTTATACACAATTTTTGACTGTTAAATACTACACTAATGAGATTTAATTATTTAATTGTGTTTTTAATGTTTGCACTTTAAAATAAAGATTTAAGATTCGATTCTTTCATTCGGAAACGGTCCAACTTCGGACTTATCGTTTATTTCAGCTTCGTATAAAAAAGAATCTCAGAAATTTTTGTTATTTTCTAAGAGATCGACGAACAAATCAAATGATACTTTTAGCAATCTCAATGAACTAAAACGGTCGGTTTAAGTTCGGCTAAACTATCAAAATTACTCATCCGACAAAAGCTTTCACTTCGTAATCAGGAAGTCATAAAACATCAAATCCCCCCATCGGTTCGTGTCAAATGAACTGAAGAAATTTCAGCTGTAAGATATTGAGATTTTGAGAGATAATCAATTTTAAACTATTTGGAATAAACAAAAACTTTTTCTTTAATGTTTTAAAAAATATTAATCGATAAATTGGTGTCAATAAATAACTGGAATGAATAGAAGTAGGAAAAAAAACACTTTCATTTTCGAATAGTGTAAAGGAAGGTAAAATATTGAACGAACAATAAATATTTTTTGTCTTTCAACTCGTCTTTGAGTTATATCAATAGTAATTAGAACGTCTTTAATTGATATCTAGAATCGATTAATATTTAGCGCATCAACGGTATGATGGTCGAGGCGGTTAAGGCGTCAGTCTACCATTTTGGGGAATCCTAGATCGAATCCGGACAGTTAAAATAATAAATATATATATATACATGTTTACTACACGCATCAATTTACTTATCGGTAATGTAATTCGAAAGAATTAACTATTAGTTCTATATCTGAAAAGTATTTTGATAGAATAAAATTCAAAATATTTCATTAGAGTTCTTTGAAATCTATCCTCGAGTTCTGATGAATACTTTAAGAAATTTATATAAGTTTTTATACTTGAACTTTATTTTTTAGTAAAGTATTGACACCGAATATGAATGTCAAATAAAATGCATTTTTTACATGACTTCTAAAATACAGAAATCAGATCTAATTATTGCAAAAATAAATTCATTAATATTTGAAAAAAAATAGATTCGAATTTAGGATTTATGAATTCAATATAAATTATTGAAATATAAATGAATAATATGTTAAAATATCGAAAAATAAATTCGTATTTTTATAATTAGATATTCGATTAGCATATTTTAACCAAATATTTCGGTAAAGACAAAGATTTATGGTTATCAAGAAATGATATCATATATCTTTTAAGGAAAATTTTCTCTAAAATGTTACATAAATTTAAAGTACCTATCTAAACTTTTCGCTTAAATTCTGCAAATGAATCACCTCCCTAAGTTAACATATTTTTAAAATTCCTTATGAAATTTAACAAGTATGTGTTGCAAAATTCGAAAATGGATACAACATGCATATATGGAAAAACATGCCAATATATGCAGAAGTATAACATTTTGATCCTATCAAATTTAATGTAAACCGAACCTAACCTTAAAAGAATTTGATCTGAAATTCGACAATTGACATTAAATTTTTATTTCGCATCGTGCAATTAAATTTCTATGTTCTAAGTACCCAATTAAGCAAGAAAAATTTCGAAAACATACGAAAATCTTTTGTTCCTTCTTTTGATATTTTTCTATTGGACTTGCATTAAAATAATTTTGCAACAATATTATAAATTTAAAATACCTTAAGTATTATTGATTACTTAATTGAATACACCCATTCATAGAATTTTTTATGTATTTAAAAAAAAATCTAAAATTAACGATCATTAAATTGTATAATGGAAAGGAATAATTAAGAAAGTAACTGATAGGAAATCTGCAGATCTCTCTAAGATTTAACTGGAGTAAAGAAAGGAGACAAAATCTCATTTAGTCAAATGAGAATTTGTCTAATTTCTTCATTTCAATCAGATAATTTTCAATATAATACTTCAGAATAAGTGAGGCTTAAACATTTATTAAGTCCTATTGAAAATATTTACACTGATATCAAAAGTTAGTTAATTAGTATAAGTCATAGGTATTCTAATTATCGAATGATGTAGATAATATTCAGTTAAATGTTTCCATTTTACATTATACAGATGTCAGAAACCTGTTTCATATCAAGGAAATAATATAATCGTCAGTAGTTAGTTGATTTGTAATTTCTAAATTACAGAATTAAACTAATTTATAATCTCGGAAATTTTATATTAATCAAGAAGAAAAATATATCAGTGTGAAACTTTTCATATATATTTTTGTATATTTTACATATTATAGAATAAATCTCATTATAAACAAACTTATACATATGCGTACACAAATATACAGATGTATACATATTTGTATATGTGTGTTTATAAGATATTGTTAGGATCTAAGATGTAGAAGTTACTGACCTCTGTGTTGGCAGTGGTATCCATCTTTTTGTTGATAGAGGAAAAGCAGGACAAGAGTTTTGTTTCAGAGTTTTTGTTGTTTTCTGCTTATTTGGATTATCTGCAAATACTTGAATTAAAGTTTCTGCAAGAGTTGGATCTCTTTCTTTATCTTTTTGGTCTTTTGAAGCATCAGACTGAGACGGAGGATTCAGAGAATTATTTTGTTGTTTTGAAGGAGATTTTTTTCGGCTCTGAACTTTTGCTTTTGGATTTTCATGATTGTTTGTTTCATCGCTATCAGAAAATGATTGTCGTCTTGCGGAGTTATTAACAGGATATTTTAAATCTGATATAATTTTTTCTCCACTCGATGGCACTTCTGATGGTTCCGCTGTTGTTTTTCGATTATCTTCGCTTTTTTCATTTATTTTGTTGTCACTTTCTTCATCTGAAAAATTGTCCGTTTTAACACATTTCGTTTCATTGTCCGAAGTTCCTTGATCACAAGATTCCATTCCGATTCCTTCGTCTTCTACAGAATTTTGTCTGCTTATTGGCTGATGATATGGACTTCTAAATCTTGTTTTTATCTGACCATGTGCATCCTTTGATGAATACCAACTTCCACTCATTGATCCTCTTCTCTTCATATATCCTGGCTGTTGGAAAATCTCCAGACATGGATAAACATGAGTTGGAGGAAACTGGAATGCTTTATCTGATTTAACAGTGAGGTAGGAAGGAGATAATAAATGGCTTCCAGCTTTCTGTGGAGAAGTATTTTCACGAGATTTAGTTCCCAAATTCTGCTGGATATCCAATTCATCAGAAAGAGGACTGCTCGAATTACAACGAGAAAGTCCGGGACTGGAAAGAGAAGAATAACCCGATGTGCTAAGATTAGATTCAGATATAGTTCTATCAGCTGAAGAACAAATCACAGCTAAAGGACTAAGGTAAGCCATTGGCTTAATAGGATTCGGTGTTCTTGGAGGACTTGTTTCATCAGAATCACAGGAACTCATATTAGCAGTGATGAGTATTTTTGGAGTAGGTAAATCTACTGAATATTTTCTTGGAATATCCGATTTTCGAACTTTAGGTGATACTACGCAAGGGGATTTTGTCAAAGTCGTTTGTGTTGTTGTTGTCTGTTTAATAGGAATCCCTTGATTTTCAGCAGATGGCACTTCTAAAAAAACACTTTTATGAGATAAAGCGGAACTCGTTGAATTATTACAATTATTCGTATCTTCGTTGAGATCGGCAGGGTTTTCACAGTTGTTTTCTGCATTAACAGTCTCGAGGCAATCGGGGTCTTCCGACGTTATCGAAATTTCCGGAACTTGTTGAACAATAGGCGAATTAGTTTTACTTGTTTGATCGTCTGCTTCTTTAGAATCCGATGCTTGTGGAGATACCTCAACTTGCACTTCACTTGTTTTCGCCTCTCCGCTCAGACTATCCGAGGATGAATTCTGTTCAAAAGAATGTTCTTTGACCGAACGGAAATCTGAAAACGATGGTGCTGAATAATGAGATATTCGAGGTGATAAGCATCCTATAAAAGTAGTTTCTGCAGTGTTGCCTTCTGTAGGACTCCCCCCGTCTTGAGAAAAGACTTTACGATTAGACATTTGTATTTTTCTTTCACTCAAACGGAAAAATTCATCAAGACTTAATCTTCTCTGGCTTGGAGAAGACGTAACTAATGATGCTAAAATCCTCGATTTTTCATCGCTCTTCTTATCACTATCATTCGATGGCGTGGAAGTATTTGTATTAATCGGTTTTTTGGTCTGTTGCGCCGTTCTTTTCAGAATTTCATCGAAACTAAAAGTGCAACCCATATCCCGATCTGTTGGACTATTGCTACCACCTCTTGTACTACGAATACTATGTTTTCGTATTCTATTTAAAATAGATTTTGGACAAGTTTGTGGACTGAGATTAGCTGGCGTTGAGCATGGTTGGTTAGAGCTGAGACTGTATCTGGTGGTGGGAGGAGATGAATCTGAAAGAAATTGCAAAAGATTTAGTAAGATTGATTGATAACATCACATGTGTTAGGCTGATTTCACACCAAATCAGTCCAGTCAGGTCAAAGCAAGGCAAAGGCTTTCACAATGGACCAGTCGGTGAAAGAATTCCTTGAGAAATGCACGTGAATACTATTACCCCTTCACCGAAAGTAAAAAGGGATTTTGTAATATAAATAGAGGAAATAAAAAAAATTACTTAGATTATTTTAATTTAAGTTACTTAGTAAGTAATTAATTAAAAAATACAAATACAAATATACTAGTATATTTTAATTTACAGCCCCAAGATGGTATTTTTAAAAGCATTTTCGGATTAATTGGTCATTTAATGTCACAAATAATATGTTACTGTAATATTACGTGATATTAAAAAAAATACGTCTAACAACGGAAAAATACTGATCAAAACTGATGAAAATTCCAACATGTTGAACCCATTCCAGTCTTGATGCAACTGGACTGAGCCAGACTTATTTAGTGTGAAATCTACCTTAGAATATCATATCTAATGAAAAATTTAACTTAAAGCATTAATTTACCACCTTAATAAAGGAATTTATATTGTTTTGTAGTGGAAAAATTTATTAAATACGAAATAGACTTTTTGAATAATTAAATGTTTTATTAAATAACCACGTAAATTAAATAATTACATGTAAAAGTAAAAGTTTTTATACAAATGTATTTTGTAGTAAAGAAACAGTTAAATTTAAAATTGATCAAAATTACGTAACTTGTATATCGAGTATGGCTCTATCAATTAATAATTAATAAGTTCGATGGCAAAAAAAAAACAAAAATGGTGTATAAAACTATCCTATTACATTTTATCTAATAATTTATATATGTTTATTTACTATAAAAGATCAAATTTGAAAGAAGCATTGTTGAAAAAAACACAAGAAATGAAGTGAATGAAGTGCAGGCCGTCATCCATGATAAGAAATTGCACCAACAGGTAAGAACTGAGAATTAAAAGAGATTAAAAATGGTTAGGAGATTATTTTAGGAAATAAACGCATATGTTAAATGATATTTTTTTAAATTTAATTAATAAAATAATAGTATCAGTGTCATGGTTTTAAGCAAATCCATTTTAAGACTTACGGTTCTTACTCCGTTCAATTTCCTCAGCTAAAAACTTCTCAATTTTATCCGCAAATTTCCTCTTGATACAATAAATGCATAAAATAACCAGTAAAACCACAGAAACGGTTATAAGACCGAGCCAAAACGGTTCCTCCAACATTCGTTTACTTAAGGGTTTATATGGTATCTGAAAGACCTGTTTTTCACAAAAGGGACCTGTGAAAAAAAACAATAAAATTAAAGAACCTTTACTTATATCACGTAATATTTATTTAAGAATTTTGTAATTCGTTGCATAGTTTTAAGCAGTTACAAAAGAAATAAGATACAAGAGAAAATTTAAATAAATTAGAAGTACTGTATATATAATGTAAAGTTATGTTTGATTGATTCGATAGTTTTCATATATCCAGTCTGATTGGTTGTAGTTTCGAAGCTCTCATTGGCTGTAGCTCACCGACTGCTCCGACCCGACTACAAATATTTAACTTTTCAAATCTGTCCGACTAGAACGACTAGTCGGTCGGCAGACTGCTGTTGCCATGGCAACACGACTTGGAGTCGGCCCAGTCGGTCATAGTGTGAAACCGCCCTTAGTGTGAATGCTTTTACTACTAGTCGGTCCGATTATAAAATCGGTCGGGTCGGTCCAGTCGGTCATAGTGTGAAACAGCCCTAAGATGCGATCGTTTACTGTGTTATATAAACAATTAAATCCAAAACAACATCTACATTTCGGTTCTATAGCTTATAGAAGCAAATGTAAGTGTAGTTTCCGGCAACCTCCTCTGATCATTTTTAGTGAATTTTAACCATTTCCAAACTGGCACTTCGGAACCCTTGGGATTAGGAGGAAAAACTCCATCGTGTGACTACAGGGCCGATGGCACGATCCGCTAGGGAACTTTGGGCCTGGGACATAGCCTATATAAATGTATTTTGTTTATAAAATCGACAATGCCAATTTATATAATTTTGAATGCTTAGTGGGAGAAAAAATAAAATGTGATAGACGAAACACGTCGTGTCAAAAGGAAAGAAGAAAAGGGTCGGGAAACCCTACTTCTGAAACGAGCCATCGCTCTTGACAGACTCGAGCAAACGAGCCTTCTTTGAGAGCAATTCTATATTTGATTAAATCAAATTCTGTTGCTTTCGTCAAATACACTTTCCTCTAAAAAGTTAGCATGATATGTAAATTCTCAGTAAAGGAGCGTGTGACTTTTATTGGATGGAACTTGTTGTATACTTTGAGTATGATATGCAAATATCAAAACACAAGTAAAGCAGAGGCCAGGTTCGGGTCGCTCTTGACTTACTTAGTCTGACTGCTTACTGGTCAGAGGCAATAGCTCTACAATTGTTTCAAATTGCATCCCAATTATACCAATTAATTGCAAATGCCGCTAATAATTTTGAGACATTACTTCTTTAAATAAACTTATAAACAGAGTTTGTATTTATGAAATAGGGAAAATATTTTCAGTATTCAGTATTAAATCAATAGAAAATTCTTTTAATAATGGATAAATTATTACGTATATTTCTTGTCTAATTAAACGTTTTCCAATTTAATTAATTGCAAATACAGTAGAGCGTCGATTTTCCGAAAGTCAATCATCCGAAAGAATTCCAGTCGGCAAATTTAAATTTTCGCCAGTGCTGTGGCGCTTCAATCTTTGGCTATGTCTTGGGCTACTCAAATATTTTACGTTTTTGATACTAAATTAACATCTGAAGTATAATTTTTTATTATTTTTATATTTTTCAATATATTTATTTTGTTTGTACAAAATAAAAAATTAATTTTTAACGATACAATAGTCTTTGTTAGGCTTAACATCGACGAAAATTCAACGCGAAGCGACACGCAACGGAGAAAAATTTCGACATCCGATACGTTAAACTATTTTTTCGTACGTAAATCAGTTATCCGAAATATCAGTTATCCGGACAACCCCAGTCCCCAATTGATTCGGAAAATCGACGCTCTACTGTATATTGCATTGATCAAGAACAAAATTTAATTTTTGTTTGTTGCAAGGTGAAGATGCTGGAGGAGTTGGTGGCGGAACTTGAGGGTGCGATTCTGCAGTGGAAAGGAGCCCCGCGACGACTCTCTTTCCGTCAAGGAGACGTGTGAGATCACCCTTCCGACGGAAAGCGAGGAGTCGGTGGCGTTTCCTCTGTTCTGGTTTCCCTGCTGGGAGATTGTCGGTTTGAAGAAGGGGATGGCAATATTTTGCCAAGTTCGTCGGATCACGGGGTCAGTACGGATCTCTCATCACTGCTGGTTCTGGCAGAGACATTCTTTGCCGAACCAGACGGGATCGGTGCGGTCGACGGGATGGAGTTCGGAGACGTGTTTCGTCTCTGGGACCTGCACAATAGGGTGCAGGAGGAACTTCATTCCCGGCAGTACGATCCGTTTTGTGATGAGTGGCATTCGGAACCCCCCGAAGAATTGACGAAGTACGCGTTGTGGGACACTGTGCACTTCGCTAAACACGTGGTTGGCGAGAACCTCTTCGTTCTTCGCCACCCACGTGAGCCGGACGAGACGCCGGTGGAGAAGTTGCGCAGGCTCACCCACTTTCTGGTTGACTTTCCAGCCTATAGATTTCCCAGGTGGAAACCGGAACCTGTGGAGCACACCTTAAATAGGCTGCTCAATTCTGCTCGGAGGCAGCGCATTATTATTCCTTTGTGGTTTCGCAACTCCTAGTGATGCCATTGACCGAGGAGGAGGAGAAGAAGACGATTGGTTTATTTTCTTTATTTATTACTAACCTAGATATAAGACGGCAAGGGTTTTTTTATTTTTCCCCCTTGTTATACTAACGCTAGTAAATTAAGTAAAGATATAATACAAAGTAATTTTTTGCAGACTAAATTACTTTTTATCATCTCTTTGGCTTAATTTATTTTCATTAGCCTAACATAGTTTTAAGAAAGTAAGGGGTTTTCTAATTTTTTTTCCCTTATTATACTAACACTTTACATCCAATCGCTAAAATAACAACACCCCTCACGGTAACACACAGTCGTCGCATTCATCCACCCAATTGCCATTCATACGCTCTGTAAATTACACAACTGACAACACGAACACGCTTCCCAAAATCCAACCTCTGGGTCCACGTCCCGGGAAGTGGTAACATTATTCGACCGATCGTCGAATGATGGCCAAAGAGGCTCTGGTGCTGAGATCGTTTTTGATTTAGACCTTTAATACCAGAAACTGTTCTTAAAATTACAATTTCAATCTCCACAATGCCACTTGTGTCTATCTTTTGATGTTGTTTATAGAATTCTGTCTTGGAAGAAACTACTGTATAATAAACTTAAAAAATTCTAACACATTGTTTCTGTTTGCTAAGAAACAAATGGAATTATGTATATGTATATATATATATATATATATATATATATATATATAAGTGCATTAACATGTTTAATGCTTCATATGGTAATAAATAGAAAAAATGAGTGAGAAAAATTACATAAAAAATGAAAGTAAATAAGATATACTAAGTATTCAGTTAGATTGGATTGATGGGCTAAGACAATGCATATCTGCCAAAAGGAGTGTTTCACGAATGGCTTCTAGGAGAAACTGGCTCCCATTTAACTGTCGTCATCATTGGATACAGTCAGGGGTTGTGGGGAGAAAAAATATAACAAAATCTCAGAAATACAAAATTACAAAAATTGGAACAAAATAAGATAAATTAAAATAATGTTAAATTAAATTAAATTAGTGAGGATCTGTCAATGTAAAGCACTACTGTATATATATATATATATATATATACGAGCATAATACATTTTTTATTCAATTTAGGGATACTGAGCAAGTGCTTGTATCGACTAAGCGGGTTGTTTGGTTTGTATTTTACTTTTCAAAAACAATATGGTAGGCCGTTCTGCACCAAACTGTTCTAATAACGGCAGATATAAAATATATAAATTTTTAGGCTATATACTTATGCATATTACAGAATGTTCAATTACTACTAATAATAGCACTTCTCTCAGTGGGAAAATATCAAATTTTAAGTCCCCCTATGTTTTATTTTACTCGTAATTCTATCTGATAATCTTACAATATTAATTTTTTTTATAGAATAATTAATTTTTAAGAAAGGTGTCTATTCATAAATTTATTTGTTTTTATTTTTAACTAATAATTTCAATCAAAGCATTTATAATTTATAATTATGAATAGAAAAAATAAGTATTGTACAGTACAAGTATATTTTAAACCACATTCACTACATTCCATTTTAAACCACATTCACTACATTTTATTTAAGGTATAAAGAGTTCGACAACGTTGACAGTGCGATAAACAAATGATAAGGCTCGTAACTACCACCCGAAACTGACAAAATCAGTTTCCGCGACTGGCGCTGTTTGTCGTAGCGGCATAATTCAGAACTAAGATATATCACGGTTGTTCTTCCCTCTTCCCTTAGCTCAAGTTCAGGCCCGCTGTAAGCGGGCGTGCAAGCCGTGCACCGCACACGGGCGGCACGTTCAGGGGGCGGCAAATCGAGCGATCGGTCACGTAATAATTAGTCATTGTCATAATACCCACCCTACTTATAGCATAAGAAATGTCTTCGCATGGAGAAAAAAATCCGACTGGCGCGCAATTACTATATTCTTATTTATATTATAGCGTTAACAGCGCCTCTATTGGCATTTATCAGAATTAAGATGCAATGCGAAACGTCTGTCGGCAGGTTGAACCATCTGGCGGGCACCCGAAAGCCAAGTACCAATAGTCGTGCTGTATGATAGAAGTTGACAGGTTTGGCGAAAATAGGGAATCCCTACAGAGCTTCCTTCTCAATATGTACTTGTACGCATTCGAACAGTTCTATTGCATATCAAATTGCAATTATTTTGTTAATAATTCTTCTGACATGGGTCGAAGTATAATTAATGATATTTTAACTTGGTTAGGATTTAAATCTGAAGCTTAAAGACGATTCAAGTAGTGAAACAGACATTGACAGTATTGATTTGTTTAATGAAATCAATACTTTAAAGTTGCATTTTCCAGAAAACCAGTCTAATGATCCACAAACCCCATTACAATATCTTTTTACTAATGACTTAATTTCAACAGTTCCAAACACAGCAATAGCACTAAGAATATTACTTACATTGCCGGTTTCAGTTGCATTTGGTGAAAGGTCCTTTTCAAAGTTAAAAATTATAAAAAACTATTTAATTAA